CCCTTGGCGTTAAAACGCCAACAATTTAATTTCAAAACCTTAAAAAATATTCGAAATGTTAGTCAGAGTTATAAGATATTCGAGTGCCAATGAAGAACAGTCGCACAGTGTGTGTTTTTAATTTCATCAAATTTGAAATTACCCTACACCGATGAAAAAGTTCTTAATTAAAATAAAAATACATTTTTATCACACTTTTACAGGCTGTTTTTAATTTGACCACCCGTTTTTGAAATTCCTTTTGAAAAGTATTCCTAAACTAAGATCTTCTTAAATGTCTTTCGTCTGACATTGTGATACACATGTATTTTAATAAGCCGATGAACTAATTTGAATTTTATTGTTCGAACAAATGGCAACCCTCCTATATAAATGTATAATATGAATGTATCATTTTAAACACGTGGCAACACTTTTTGATAATTCCAAATGGTCAAACTAAAGACTTCTTAACATTCTTTCATTAGACTCTCTCTCTCTCTTCCTTCCTGACAGTGCGATGCATATTTTAATTAACTGATGAATTAGTGGAATTTGATTTTTTTTAAATATGGCAACCCCGCTAAGTACAGTTCAGAAATAAAACTTTTCAAACGCCCTTCGATTGATACCCATATTACAACAATTAATTTAACCTACTAAATAATTTAAATTTAACTATTTAAACAGGTGGCAACCCTCTTCCAACACAACAAAAATATTCTTAGCGGTCAAACTAAGGATTTCTTAACACTCCTTCGTTTGACATACACATTTTCATATTTCATATAACTTGTGTATAAGTAAACTAAATGCGACATTTCGTGCAGATAGCAACCATCTCAAAATATTTTCATATTTTCTCGATCTATACTTATTTTGTAATAATTGATTAATTTTTTTAAATACTTTGAAAAAAAAGGTGGCAACTCTTTTTAAAAAATGTAAACCTTATTCCACATATCTATAGTCCAAACCTTTTAATTTGACACCTCATTTTGGAAAATACAACGAACAGTGCGAATATGATGGCATTGATTTTTAAATAATTTGAATTTAATTGTTCAACACGTGGCAACTCTTTTCGAAAAACTAAAAGCATTTTTCACATCTATAGACCAAGCGGTTTAATTTGGCATCTCATTTTCGAAGATCGCGCGAACGGTATAGATCTTATGTCCTGGGCAAGAAAAATCGCCTATTATATATATAGATAAGCATTTTTATACGTTTGGAATCCGTATACATTTTGAAACGTCGAACTTAACATTGGCATTCTGTAGTAGACTTAAGAATATTTTCAACTACTAATGAGATATGCTGTTCTGGACGAAGTAAATTAACAACAATACACGCATTAGCAACACATTTGGTTAAATTTCTGTTTTTTTATTAAGTATAAGTTTTAGTAGTATAAGTTTTTTGTTATTGCAGAATACCATCGACATGTACATATGTATATATACTAGGGATGTTAATTTTTTCGCTTTTTACGATGCCGTGATTTTCGGGCGGTCGTTATCACAATCATTACTTTTCAACAACTTAAATCGAAAAATTGCTTCTATCTCTCCTACCATAAAATAAATAAAAAATAAATGGATTTGAAACCTACTTTTTATTTAAAGTGGCGTTTTTAGTTTTTCTCTCCAACGTCAGGATTTATTTTAAAGAACTTTGCAATTTCAAAGATATGACTAGTACCAAAAATTATTTAAAAATGAAAGTGGACATTTTTTAGTGTTTAAGAATTTAAAATTTTTTTTTTTTTTTGTTGAACGCGCAAATGACTAGCTATTTCACAGATCCCCTATTTTATTCAGAAACTGAAATCGTAGACCTATTTTTGTCACACAATCTTATAGTACTATGCATATATTGAAGTTTCGATTTTGCATCTTTCATAAAACCACTTTCGCACAATAACCGCAAGCCACTAACCACCATCCGAGGGATAAGCGCCGATGAATTCAATGCAACACAGCCGCTTAGTGCAAATGCATTTCAATTAAAATCCATTTATTATGCAAAAACAAAAGCAACAATATCAAGTAGCAAATACGTTACTACAAAAATGGAACAAGCAACAAATGACATGACAGCGACAACAAGTGCAGCAGATGAGCTCGCCAGCGCAACTACTCTGCCCATACCGATCCGAATGCATGAATGAATGAGTGATTGCCATGCCAAACTGAAAACTTCAATAGCAAGTTGCTTGCACACTCAACTCCCATACTCAAACATACCCTGCAGGGAAACCGCGGCCTAGTTAATCAAATTTCTAGTTCGGATCTATCGGAAAAGGGATACAGCGGCAGGCAATTGACACTTCCTAGGACATCGCCATGTTAAATGCGCCAGTTTTTGCATGTAAAAGAGATATATCGCGGACCAATACTGTGTCTAAATGTACATATAGAAGCGCAACAGTTCATAACTAGAGATTTTCCCCACAGGGTATGTACATACAAATACAAGTGTAGCCACTACCAACACACTTATGCTGCAACCGCAAATGACAGCAAGCAATAAGACCCAGTGGGAAAATGTAATGTATAGACATCGAAAAACTAGTCAATAAAACAGACGTTTTTGCACTCGAAAATGCATTTTTCCCACGACGATGTCCTACGAAAAGTGGGACATAAAATTTTGTATTACGTGGTATCGAGGAATGAATATGATTTAATATGAATTGATGGGACTTTAGAATGCTGATTGCATAGTAAATAGTAACAGAACTCATAAGAAGTACATAACATTATTTATCACGCACATAATGCATTAGTAGTTTTCTCACTGGGAATTTACCTAACTGCGGTAGTAGTAGCGGCGAAACTCAAGTTTATGGCTGCAATAATCCACCAACGGGTAGGGGGCGTCGCTTTGCTTGCCTTTTTTTGCCGTGACTCCTTTAGTGTGACGCTTATCAATTTGCATAATTCTAGTTGGGATCGAATTTCTTAATGCAAATCAACACCAACTGCCTTCTTTTACTCCTTACTATAAATTCACTACTTTGGCTTGCCTATGGAGCATGTTATGTAAATATTTTAAGCTTCAACGCCTCACACGCTCCCCCCTCACTAAACAAAGTGTTAATTGCCGAACAGCATGTACATACTTGATCATCGTAGTGTCTTCTTAATTAATTAACTTTGCAAATTCGTTGACTCACTTCTGCTCTTGGTGCTCTTTCTGTGAGGCCATGAGAAAGTAATTTTTTTTTCTACTTATGTGCTTTCATTTTTCGTATTAAATAACTTTCCGCGAAGAAAAGAGAGATACTGGATACTGGATACTTATGTAAGTGCGTAGTATTTATAGCTTCACTAAATACTGGATAAAAAGTACTAAACAGTTTATTAAATACTAAATACTTGCTATTTACTCAGTGTAGAAATAAATAATTTCGCGACTTTCGAGACTATTTCAGTATTTTCGGGCATACTTTGGCATTTTCGGGACTATTTCAGAATTTTAGGTATTCTAGGTAATCTTCGGGATTTTAGGGATTACTTCGGAATATTCGCCACTATTTCGGGGTTTCTTGAGCATATGGAGATTTTCGGAACTGGTTCAGGATTTCCGGTCTTCTATAGACTATTTCGGGATTCTGGGACCACTTCGTAATTTTCGGGACTTTGTTAGGATATTCGGTATTCTAAAGATTATTTCGGGATTTTCGGACCTATTTCTATACTTTCACGACAACTTCAATGTTTTTATAATTTTCGGGATTCTCGCTTCCAGATTTTTAGGATTTTCGGGAGTCGAGGGAAAATTAGTTGAGTTGAGGTGTGCTGAGGTGAATTTAGTAGAGGTGAATTAAGATGAGGCGAGTTGAGATGGACAAAGTTCAGATGTGTACTTAACAGACAATCTCAGAGTTTGGGATACATTTTCCAATAACGCTTTCAGTATGAAACAGCATTCGAACTTTGGGGGAGTATCTTAAAATTAGTACGCTACGTAAAGAGAGTCTCTTAAGATTTCACTATGACACATGGATAGTAACGTAAAGCCCAAGCCAAAAACCTTAAAATTATTCCATAGTGTTATTATTAAAACCCACTTAATCTTTGAAAAATTAAAAATATAGTACAAAATGTTAAAATATTTCATGAAATACTATTTTCCGCATACTTTTTGAGACATAGTATTACCCATTTTAAAATCTGCTTATCATTTTTAGACAGATTTTAGTCTGTTCGACCAGCTGATAATTATTGCAAATTATCACAAGTTATCAGGTTTTCGACCCGTCATCTTAAATTTTTAAAATCTAACTGCAGATTCGTAATCAGCGACTTTTAATATAGTTAAAACCTTGGCATTATTAATTTTCTATGATCGTTTAAGATTAAATTCTTTCTGTGATCAATTTTTCCTGCACCCCTAAACACAAATACACCCCCTGCTTTAAGGGTGCACGCGATCAATTCGGCATAGGGCTCATTCGAAAGGGCACGGTTTAGCCTTTAATTTCTGATATATGCAANGTCCCGTCTTATTCGCAAAACCCTTGTAGACCAGTGTAATCGTTCGTTGCTCTCTTGCAAGTCGACTGTCGACTTTTTAAAAATATATTAACGAAGTTCAAAAACATTTCCAATTTTTTATTCCTAATTTTGCAGTTTTTTGGCCTAGTCAGCTTAAATATAAAAATATGCTAGTTTAAAAATTCTGAAAAATTCCGTGGATTTTTTAAATTTCTTTTTAAAGGACGATGTTATGCACTTTCTTCCATATAAACAAAATTTTCGAACATATTTTATATGGAAGAAAATGGTGGCACATGCGTCTGCAAAAAAAAATTACCAAAAATCAACGAGATTTCTCCGAATTTTAAAACCTGCACAATATTGTACTAAAATTTGAAACATTTAAAATTAAAAAATTAATTCTTCCGACAGTTTTTTTTATCTGCCTATTTGTCTGTCATCGCCGTCGGGAATACGCAATTTTATACGCTATCATTCTTGTATAAATGCATACATGCCGTTTTGCTTACTTACTTCAACTAGACCCCGCCGCTTATTTTTTGAGTCCACGAGCAGTTGCACTCACTCACAACGTATTATTTCCATTTCAATACACTAATCTCTGTTCACAATTTTAATTTGGCTTCTTCATTATTTACTTTCTTGCACTGGCAACAAAACTGTTAAATTTGCACATGTTTTCCGCGCTTATATTTACAATGAGTTCATTTGTGTGCGTTAGTGTACTGGTATCTCATACACTGCGCGCCAGCTTAGCCTCACCTACGCAATTAACCGTCCAGCGGTAAAAAGAAACCGACTCCGTTTACAGTTAGCAAGAAAATAAAACCCTCGCATGGTGATAAGCCACTGCCACCTGCATCTGGTTAAGTTGGAACAAAAGTGTAGCAGTTGGTAGTGGTTTGAAGTCAAATACAACATGCAGCATGTTGTATCGCTAAAATGTTGGATTGCAACAAGAGATCGTACGCTGTAGTGCAAACAATGGAAGGCTATTTTCTACGGCAGGTAACTCTTTTACCTAGCGCTCAAAAGATCTCAAATAATTTCTTCAATTCATGCACGTTTTCTCTTTTTATTTACTTTACGTTTAAAGCTCTCTCTTTTTTTCCTTGAATTTGCGAATAATTTTTCATTAAGGCTATGTGTTTATAAAGAAACAGAGAACGTCTTAAATATTACTCTCTCCTTCTTCCTATTTATTTTTAACATCTCTTTCAAGTTTTTAAATTTTTTCTCTTTACTTGCTTAGTAGATTTTACTTCACATAGAGTTACCCTAATCCCCACAGGTATATGATATTTAAATACAAGTTTCATTCATAGATGTTTAGTCACATTAGATTGTCAACCACTACATCTACTTTGAAAGCGTTAGCAAAATACCAAATGCTGGACGGGAATTCACATTAAGGCGATTGGTCGGTTTAGCAATTGGTAAGTGAGCACGCCAGCAAATAGTTCATCCAAAAGAAAACCATTATTTCAGAAAATTGTATGTAATCATTTTTTTTTTTTGTACGGTTTCTACTGTTCCCGTTCATCGCTGAGAGTGGGCACTAAGGCTGTTAAATTTTCTAGAAAAAGAGAAAAACATGTAGAGACTTCATAACGGTGTTAACACTATTGTTGCAAATGGCACTTATTCGTTATTTGATATTTAGTTCTTATGAGGCTTTAAACTGTAGCTTTTACTTGCGCATGCGCTGCAATTACATTTTGGTAAAAGAAAGAAGGCCTTACTCGATCTTACCCATTAGTTTTAACTTTTTGGTGAATATTTCTTGTAAAATAGGCATTGTTCATATATTGCTAGTTTATCGAATAATTTACCATACATCCATAATTAGAGTGACCGAATTTTCTATTGTGATTGCCCTCTTCAAGCGAGTTATCGACACAGAAAGTAGTCAATTGCCTCTTTCTCACCACCGCAACTTCTGTAGATATTACGTGTTGGTATTAGCCATCGTTGCAGCGGCCACGCTGTATTCAGCAATTTTCTTAGCCTAATCACTATAAGTTGGTAGTACGGAGCTATCCGCATCGTCTTCTCTTGGCATCTCTTAGCCGTGTCTGGCAATGCCATCAACCGATTGATTACCTGCAATACCGCTATGTCCGGGGACCCAATATAGAGTGACGTGGATTTGACTCAGTGGCGCCAGCGTTTAATGCAATTCCCGATTTTACTATTTTAGATCCTATTTCCTTCAGTACTACTTACTTTACTATCGACAAATATATTGGCTGTATCTTCTAGAACAGTTATACTAAGTAAAATACTAGCCGCCCTTTCTATAGCGCAGTTCTCTGCTTGGAAGGCTCTGCAATCATTCGGCAGACGAAAGAATCAGTTCATCTTTAGGATCTTCGCGTAGAGACCGGATCCAGTTCTTTGCTCTATCTTTGAACTATCAGTGTAGTGGCAGTCCTGCTTCCCATTATTCTCGGGGCACGAACCTAATATGTACCTTCGTATTGAAGTCCCAAATAGCCGGCCTCTTTTTATTTCATTCAGTATTACTGCATCCCCGAAATTGGTTGCCTTCCATGTACTGGCCTCTCGGAGTGCGCTCTTTACGGTCGTAATATGGATGAAAATATGCAGCGGTTACAAGTTAAACAGGCCCTCCCTGTGGTGGGCAACTTACTTCCCCCGGTATGCCAATACATGCGAGTTTTTGCAGTTTACCTATTATTTTCCTGTTATTCCGCTATTTTAGAGCACTCCGCCGTACTAGGGACCCGTGGGTTGCAATTGGTCTCAATAATGTGGTGTACATAGCTTAGGTGACGTACGATGATAAGGTCCTGGCAAGTAATAGAAAGCCACACTTCACAAAAATGAAACAGAAGCTGCTTTCTCATACCCCGAGTCAACAAAGAACCCAACGATCCCATAAACAATTATTCATGCCTGTGTTTAGGGAATTAAATAGTGTAAGCTGTCAGCTTTCACATTAAGTGAAAAAAAGCATTGACTCTTCAGTGGACCTTTTGTAATTAGGGCCAGTTAAAGCAAATGGCAAAGGACACAATCAACAAAACAATGATCGTTCGACGCTTTAACATCACTGAATCCATAAATCATTATTCGAACAACATTAAATGGAAAATCTTACATCAGCTAGAATAATTGTTAAACAGACAGAAAACGGCAAATTTTTTAAAAGAATAACTTCTTAAACCACCAGAGATGCTTTTCGCCCACCGCCACACAATACATAGACAATAGAAGAATCGATTGTCAATTATAACGACCAGGCAAGTATATAAATCAAAATATATATGAATCTGCAACTAAAGCTAGAGGCGTCAGTTATGCAGCGACAATTTTTGGTAGACTATAAGGTGCATCTGTTTCCAGCGGCACAACAAACACATTACGGAAATAAAGCTCACGCGAATGCAAAAGTAAACAGCATTTGTCAATTCCACCTACTCTGTTTGCTTTGCTGTAACTACATATGTTTTTGTAAGAATTTCCATTGTTATGCTGCTGCAATGACAAAACAATGCAATACAAAAGACTTAAGCTGCAAACTCGATTTTGCACTCAATCGATATGTATGTACATATGTGCTTTAAATATTCATGTTATAAAGGCGGTTTTATGTGTATGATATCTATGTGTACGCACGGCATTGTTATTAAAGTAGATTATGAAAATTTCAACTGAAAACTCCAACTAAAATGTAGTATACGTTTTTTTTTTATTATTATACGAATACTATTTACATATGTATGTAAATATTTATGTACAGGGTGTCCTAGACCATCCGTCCACCCGCTCTGAAATCAAGGGACAAGTTTTTTATTAAAAAACGTAAAAATATGACCTATATGACCAAATAAAAGATGTTCTATCTTGAAGCGATATTACCGAATTCCGGTTTCCATCGGAAGCGGGTTAAACTGATCGGTTGTCCATCTTTTNGCTAGAGGCGTCAGTTATGCAGCGACAATTTTTGGTAGACTATAAGGTGCATCTGTTTCCAGCGGCACAACAAACACATTACGGAAATAAAGCTCACGCGAATGCAAAAGTAAACAGCATTTGTCAATTCCACCTACTCTGTTTGCTTTGCTGTAACTACATGCATATGTTTTTGTAAGAATTTCCATTGTTATGCTGCTGCAATGACAAAACAATGCAATACAAAAGACTTAAGCTGCAAACTCGATTTTGCACTCAATCGATATGTATGTACATATGTGCTTTAAATATTCATGTTATAAAGGCGGTTCTATGTGCATGATATGTATGTGTACGCACGGCATTGTTATTAAAGTAGGTTATGAAAATTTCAATTGAAAACTCCCACTAAAATGTAGTATACGTGTTATTATACGAATACTATTTACATATGTATGTAAATATTTATGTACAGGGTGTCCTAGACCATCCGTCCACCCGCTCTGAAATCAAGGGACAAGTTTTTTATTAAAAAACGTAAAAATATGACCTATATGACCAAATAAAAGATGTTCTATCTTGAAGCGATATTACCGAATTCCGGTTTCCATCGGAAGCGGGTTAAACTGATCGGTTGTCCATCTTTTTAAATTATATATACATTTTTTCTGCAGATTCGGATTCTGAAGATAAAAATACCTAACTTTGTTTGAAATTTTTTCTCGGAATTGCTTTTTTCAATCTCTAAATGACCTTCGAACATAAACTCGTCCTGGACTTCTGAAATGGACGCAAATATTTGTATTAAAAAACAAAAAATATGAACTACCAAGTCAGGGATACTCTCTTTTTTTAGTAGTATTACCGACTTCCGTTTCGACCGGATTTGGGTCAAACGGACCGGAAGTCCAATGTGGGAAAATATTTCCGACAAAATTTTATATTTTTATGCGTAGAACGCGAATCTGTTTAACCTACTACATNACTAGAGGCGTCAGTTATGCAGCGACAATTTTTGGTAGACTATAAGGTGCATCTGTTTTCCAGCGGCAAAACAAACACATTACAGAAATAAAGCTCACGCGAATGCAAAAGTAAACAGCATTTGTCAATTCCACCTACTATGTTTGCTTTGCTGTAACTACATATGTTTTTGTAAGAATTTCCATTGTTATGCTGCTGCAATGACAAAACAATGCAATACAAAAGACTTAAGCTGCAAACTCGATTTTGCACTCAATCGATATGTATGTACATATGTGCTTTAAATATTCATGTTATAAAGGCGGTTCTATGTGCATGATATGTATGTGTACGCACGGCATTGTTATTAAAGTAGGTTATGAAAATTTCAATTGAAAACTCCCACTAAAATGTAGTATACGTGTTATTATACGAATACTATTTACATATGTATGTAAATATTTATGTACAGGGTGTCCTAGACCATCCGTCCACCCGCTCTGAAATCAAGGGACAAGTTTTTTATTAAAAAACGTAAAAATATGACCTATATGACCAAATAAAAGATGTTCTATCTTGAAGCGATATTACCGAATTCCGGTTTCCATCGGAAGCGGGTTAAACTGATCGGTTGTCCATCTTTTTAAATTATATATACATTTTTTCTGCAGATTCGGATTCTGAAGATAAAAATACCTAACTTTGTTTGAAATTTTTTCTCGGAATTGCTTTTTTCAATCTCTAAATGACCTTCGAACATAAACTCGTCCTGGACTTCTGAAATGGACGCAAATATTTGTATTAAAAAACAAAAAATATGAACTACCAAGTCAGGGATACTCTCTTTTTTTAGTAGTATTACCGACTTCCGTTTCGACCGGATTTGGGTCAAACGGACCGGAAGTCCAATGTGGGAAAATATTTCCGACAAAATTTTATATTTTTATGCGTAGAACGCGA